ACAAGAAACYTTGTATTGTACTCTTTCATATAATATCACCTTAACAATATTATCAGATATGGTTCACATTGAAGCCAGTCATCAACCCTCAGCRGCAATATATGTTGTAGAGCCAGTGTAYCTTGGMTTTAGCATTGTGAGTGACAGCAATTGGGTTCTTGAGGTTGGTAAAGAATATGCTGTCACTGTCCAATTGTATGATAAAAACAATCACAAGATACTTATGGCTGAGGTATGTTTGCATACAAGTATATATTTTTGTTTATTCAATCAATTAATCTGCGAGCACCTAAAATATGTCTGGAATATATGTATGAATGTCAGTCATCTCATAAAAATGTTATACAGACCTAAACATTTCATCTTAAACCATAAGTAAACCAGACTTCCTTCAAAATGCCACTTTGTCGACATAATGTTTTTGATTTTTTCATTGTTTTTGACAAAAATAGGAGTCATTAAAACTTCAAACTTTCAAGACACAATACTTTAGGTGCTTGTGGTTGCAATCATCATGATAAGTATTATTAAATAAGTATTATTTAAAGTTTGTAAAATTCATGTTTCAGAACATTGAAATYCAAGCATCATTCAGTTCATCATTCTTTGAAGTACTTTGGTCTTCACAAAACGGCAGTTATCATATTGTAAGGACAGTAAAGAAAGGAAGTATTGTTGTTAAAGCAGTTTTTACAAGCATCAAAGAAGGCTTGTGTACTTTCCCTGTAAGTTTAATAATAAAAATGACTTACTTTGTAATGATATTAATATATAAATCAGTGGATTCTTCATTTGTTAGTTGGTAAAGTGTACGTTATTTACACGTTTGTGTTGTTTTTAGGACGGCAAAAGTAAAACACTCACCCTAGAAACACCRATATCTGGACAACAAGACTTGGAAATCTTTGATCCTGTTGTTATCATTCCTGAAGAGCTTGTGTTTCCATGGCATCCTAGTTCTGGTGTTAGAGGAGCACACCAGTACAACTATCAGCTCAAGGTATTTCCAGTCTTATATGAGGGTTTTTATTTGGTCAAAGCATGTATTGAAGTGTCAATATTTCAGTTAATAATGACTTACGTAATTCCTTAGTGTTGAGAGAAAAAACCCATTTGTCTACTTTCCTTGTCATGTTGTTTTTTAGGAATCTCRTCCCTTTAATCAGCTAAGCTGGTTGTTCAAAATCCATAGGTTTTATAAGAGTTAACACAGGATAATTATCACTAACTGAGAATTGAACAACACGACCATGCTTTCCTCTGGGCACTGCATTCATTTTCAATTCAGCCAATCAAATTATTTGTACTTCATATCTTTTTCCCAGGCTATGGGTGGTAGTGGCTCATACATATGGACATCATTCAATGCATCAGTGGCATCTGTCAATAATAAAGGTGTTGTCATGACAACCACTAATATTGGACACACCCAAATCAAGGCCGCAGATACTAGGAATGTGGATCACTTTGGAACTATGGAGGTACTATGATGATGTACTCGTGATGATGATGATGATGATGATGATGATGATGATGATGATGATGATGATGATGATGATGATGATGATGATGATGATGATGATGATGATGATGATGGAGAGAAAAACAGCACTTTTGTCTCATGACATGTACTTCAGTTGTCATTGAGTTGTGTATTTTGTGTGCTTTGATCTTTGCCTTAAAAAACACCCACAAGAAATTCTGCTCTATCAAATGATGCAATTGATGGCAACGATGTCTGTGAGACCAAAACTAACACAAGTGAAACAAAACTTTTATATTTTGTCAGGTTTATGTCTTGCCTCCGACCAAGATGAATTTCATTCCTTCAAAAGTCGAAACAGAAGTTGGAACTGAGCTTCTCCTTCCTTTGGTTGTGGCTGCTCCTACACATAAAGGTAGGTTGAAACAATCCATGTTTATCAAGTTATGAAATATCATATTTGATTCCTATTAATGAATAATACAGTATGACATTGTTTTTCTTTTTTTGAACATTAATGACATTATTTTAAATGATTATTTTTTTTATTTTTTTTATTATTAAAATCACTTTTCATTTCTCCCTTGACGGTTTATGACTTTTTTAATGATTTTATGAACATTTATTTTAGGTTCTCAGGAGCTGCATGTTTTCTCTGATTGCAAAGCACTGGCACTATCTTTTAGTTTATCAGATCCTTCTGTTTTCAATGTTATTGAAGGAAATGGTGAGTACAAACWCTCTCTTAAATGTTCTCTGTCTGCATTATTGAAATAGCAATCACTTTTATTGTCCACACTTCTACCCTTGTTCTCTCCCCTCCTATTTCCCTCCCTTCTTTTCTGTCCCGTCTAACCTCCCTTCCTGTTTATAACGTTTGTTGTTTCTTCCCAATGTATTTCATTTAGGTTATTTTAATTATTTTGTTTTCAGATAATTATGAGATTGTACCCAACAGTTGCATGTCTGTCAGGCTKGAGGCCCTGCGACCAGGATTCAGTATACTAACAGTTACTTACCAGTATAAGGACATACAACTCAAGGCGGCCATTACGGTTGGAGCTTATCTACCTTTACAAGTATGTCACATARCTTGAACCTTGACATATTTTTAACATAATTTTTTGCTTTAAAATTCTCATGCTTTTAATTCTTATGTAGGTATTAGATCCAAGTTCAATAGCAGTTGTCACAGTTGGGTCTATAAAGAATATTATGCTTGGTGGAGGACCTCTTCCATGGATACTAGACACTTCTGGTTACTATGAAAACAGTATGTAAAACTTATAAACTTAAATACTTGTTATTAATGAAAACAACCCTAGTAGTTTCATTTTTAAGTATTAAATCAATATGGTAGTTCAGTAAATTAAATTCTTCTGACTTCCAGTTGATGCAGAGAGGAAAGAATTGGTTGAAATACATAATGGACACACAATGGACTACTTTGGTGAGATATCCTGACTCAAAACAAAATTTAATGGCAGTAAAAACACACAATTAAAACAAAAAAGACAAGAATTACATAAAAATCACCTCTCATGCTTTTTTGTTTTGAATTTCTTTACAGTTGAGTCTTCAGGAAGTTTCCACTTCTTCAATGTTTTGTGTCATGAGCTTGGTGAACAGGTTTGTCCTCATTTCTGTAGAACCTTTTTTGGGATTCTCTAAAGCAAACCAGTAAACTATGAATTTTATTTTGTTACATTGTTCACAGGTCCTTACTGTCAGTATTGGAAACCGTCCCACTGCAAAGAATATTTATCCAGCTTCAGCTACTGCTAAAATAAGGTGAGTACTTTCTATTGAAATGCTTTAAAATGACCTTAAGATCATTATCTTCATCATTGCAATATATCATCATCATTATCATGATAAATGCAAAATGCACTCATTATATTTCTCTGTGCTCTTTGGCAACTATTTGTTTTTCAAAACATCCCGCTAACTATCACTGTATAATGMCCTAACCACACTATATTATTGTTTATTTAGAATCACTCTATTGCTATTCTAGGTATGCCTGTATGCTGCCATCTTCCCTGACTATCGTACCTGACATCAGACTTCCTATTGTGGATGGAAGGCAACTATCACCTGAAAACTGTGTCAGCTCCAATAAAGAGGTATAAAAACACATTAAATAATAGATAACTATCCAGTTTTGATCTTAATCCTTTGCCCATATAGCAAGATAAATCGTCCTAAGTGGAGTATTATTCTCCTTTCAGATCAACGTCAAAAACGACCAAGATCTWAGACTTCTTCTGAATGTTCGAGATGAAAATGGTCGCTTGTTTGATAACTTTACTTCACTGTACATTTCATGGTCAAGTAGTGAYAAAAGACTGGCTTCWTTTGTTGGTCCTTCAAAGTCAGTTAAAATGATGTTTATTAGAGAAGGAGARAATGAAGATGTTAGAAAATCTGTTTGTAAGTACAACAYTTYACKGTSTAGTATATTKRMMA